TCCTTCTAGACCATTCCTCCTCAGAGTCTCTCCTTGCCTGCAGTGGGCAGTGTTTAGATGTGTGTGGGGGTTTCTGCTGGTCTCCTGGGGAAGGGGCCCATCACACTGAGACTGAGGCAAACTTTACCTAGAAGGGCAGTAAGGGTAGAGTGCAGGGTAGAAGGGTAGATGTGGGTCCTGGAGTAAGCAGGTTCGGCACCCAGTGTCAGCACTGTGCTATTTGCCAAAGGTGGCTCTATGTCTATGTGAGTGGCAGGGGTGGAAAATGGTGCCAGCCAGCTCTTGTGTCCCAAGAGAGGAGTCTCAGTTTTGACTGCTCTCAAGGAAGCACTGTGAGAAGAAGGAATAATCTCTTCCAGTGTGTTTGGGTGTTTTTCAGTTGTTTTCATGTTCTTCACCCCAGGGTTGTTTGCCTGCCTTCTCTCTAGGAGCAGCACAGTGCCTTCAGGGCTCTATTCCAGTCAAGCTCACCCACCTTTAAGCTCCTGTCTTCAAGCCCTGCTGATTGCAAAAACTCACAAAAATCAGCCCTTCAATTTTCCCAGCCAGTGAATCTGGGGAAGTGTTCTCCTTGTGCATTCTCCTCTGTGTTCCTCACTTTCTTGCCTTTCTCTGTGACCAGGGCTTCCTTCCCTCCACAGAACCCTGTTTCCCACCCAAACCATGTTTCCACACATCCTATCTTTCTTGATGTGCTTTTCTCCCTCTAATTGTGGAGTTTGTTCTGTCAGTCCTCAGGTTTATTTTTTGGGTATTCAGAATGATTTGATAGTTATGTAGTTGTCTTCAAGGGATGAGATGAGCCTAGGATCCCCTTACTACACCAGTATCTTCTAGCTGTCTGTATTCAGTTGATAGTCATTTAAGATTCAATCCAGTTTTTACTCCTCTCCTCCCACATTTTCAGCAATTTTAGGTATATGGTGTCATATTTTACATTCTTTTATTTTGTGAGTTCCTTGATTGATTTCTTACAGAAATACTCATTTTTACTGCTTTTGTGTTTCCTACTTACTGTCACTTTTGGTCTTTCCACTCAAATAATCCTTTTTAATATTTCTTGTAGGGCTGGTTTATTGGTCATTAACTCCATTCGTTTGTCTAGGAAACTCCTTAGTTCTCCTATTCTGAAAGATAAGCCTGCTGGATAGAGTACTCTTGCCTGCAGGATTTTCCCATTCAGCACGTTGAATACATCAAGTCATTCCTTTTATGTTTTAAAGTTACTGCTGAAAAATCTGCTGATAGCATTTTGGGATTTCCATTATATGTAACTGTCTTCTTTTGTACTACTGACTTATTTTTTGTTTACTTATCACTATATTTTGCCATTTTAATTATAATATGTCTTTGTATGAATTCACGTCTGTTGATTTTGTTGGGGGTTCTCTGTGCCTCCTGGATATGGGTATCTGTTTCCTCCCACAGATTAGAAAGTTTTCAGCTATTATTTCTTCGAATATATTCTTTGCCCCCCCCCTTTCCTATCTTTCCTTATTCTGGGACTCCTATAATACGAATGTTATTACATTTGATGGAGTCACTAAGTTCCCTAATTCTTTCACATCATTCTTTTTTTCTCTCTTTTGTTTATCTTGATTACTCTGTCAGCTATGTCATTAATTTGTTCCTCTGCTTCTTCCAGACTGCTTCATTCCATCAAGCTTGTTACTCATTTTGTTTATTGAATCCTTTATCTCTGCTATTTATTCCTTATCTCTTTTAAGTGCCTCACTAATGTCTTCTGCTCTTTTCTTAAGGTCAGTGCATATCTTTATGATTATTACTTTAAATTCTCTATCAGGCATGTTACTTATATCTATTTTTCTTATATCTCTGGCTGTGGCTTAATCTTTTTTTCATTTAGGAGAAATTCCTCTCTGTCTTCTGATTTTGTTTGCCTTTCTGTGTCTGTTTATTGTATTGGAATATTGTGTATTGGAATGTCTGTGTATTGGAAAGTCAGCTATGTCTCCTCTTCTTAGGGGTGATGACCTCTTGAAGAAATCCTTGTAGTATCCTATAGTATAGTGTTCCCTTTTCCTCAGGCCCCAGCACTTCAGCAAATTTTTCTAATGTGTGCTACAGACACTTCATTGTTTTGTGCCGGCCACTTTATTCTTTAGGCCCATCTTCTGTAGATACTGTCTTTGCCTGCTCTTGGCATTGTTTGGACCCTGGCCTATTTTGGTGAGCTTTAAATAGGTGTGCTCAGGTCTGCTTATGAAATGAGACCTGTCGCCAACTGCTACTGGAACCCAGGTCCTGCAAAGCTCATGCATTGTTGGCAGGAGTTTGGGCCAGTCTTCTAAGGGAGAACTGCTGTGCTGAGGCTGAGGAAGTGTGACTTGGAAGGTCAGTTCCATCTGAGCATGGTGGGGTGGGACTGGGTATAAGCACTTTAGGTCATAAGTTCTGGTGCTATATTTCTCATAGGTGGCCCTGATGGATGGGGGAGGGAAATGGCATCTGTGTTACTTTGTTCACAGACAGGTCTCTCTATGAATCCTGCCACTTTGGGACACATTCTGAGATGGGCAGATAAGTTCCCCACTGTTTGCCTAAGGTGCTCATGAGATCAGTTTCCATGCCATATGTCTACAGGCCATTTGCCCTGAATTCTTTCCAAGAGCAGCCCCAATGCTTTTATGTTCTCCTAGAGCCAAACCCATTGACCTATAGAACTCCAGGCTTTAAGCTTCACTGTTTTCAAGAACTCATGAAGTTCAGCCCCTCTGGCTTACCAAGCCAGTTGTATGAGGATTCATTTTTACCATAAGCGCTCTCCTTAGTGCTTATCTCTTACCCTTCTCTACGACCTTGCCTCCCTCTCCACCATGGTGGCCATGATATATTCCTCTACAAAAAACGGGTCTCTGTGCTTTCTACCTTCTCTAATATGGCCTCTTATCTACCTTTAGTCATGGTTTGTTCTATTAGTCTTCAGGTTGATTTCCAGGGTATTTAGGATGAATTGGTGTTAATCTACTTGTATTTGTGGGAGGATGAAAGCCTAGTGTCTTCCTACTCCATGGCCATCTTCCCCTCCATAGCATATCTTGTTTATATGTTTATCTTGCATGATTTGCTTCCCACACCCTATCCCCCCACACCAGAATGCCTTCATATCATATAGTTTTTTAGTTGTAGGTTTTCTTCCAGGTGTGAGGTAGATACTGATTTGTAAATGGAATTGTTTTTCCTTACTAGGGATTTAAGACTCGAATTGTCCTTTATAAGTGAAATATTGAATATCTTTTTATGTACTCTCTCATAAAGATTTGTACAGCAATGAAATGGTGTTACACATTTGCTAATCTTGACTTTAATAATGCCATATGTGTTAAATAAGGGCAAACAGCATGAATATTAAATAGGAGATAAAACTCAAAACATTTGAATGAAATAAATATAATTCATCTCACTTCATTTCCTATAAGACCTGATGACTTGGCTACTTTTTTGGCTACCTTTTAGTCTGACTAGAAAATAAGATGAAAAACATATCTAAGATGTATTTAAGAAAAAGAATATAGGCGGCGCCTGGGTTGCTCAGTTGGTTGAGCTTCTGACTCTTGATTTTGGCTCAAGTCATGATCTCAAGGTCCTGGGATTGAGCTCCACATGGCTTGATACTCAGCAAAGTGTCTGCTTGAGGATTCTCTCCCTCTCTCTCTGCTCTTCCATCCCCTCTCTGGAATAAATAAATCTTTTTAAAAAGAGAAAAAAAGAATATAGAAATAAATAAAGTATTCAGATGTAATCATTGTATTTCAGTGTGTCAATAGAAATTTCTGTACTTATCAATATACTGAGGTGTTTTCAAAGGAGACAGTATTTAAAAGACCGTTACTTTATTTCAGAAAGGAAATTCTCATGAAAGATGTAAAACATTTTCTGTATCTGTAGTTGAACTTTTAACTTACTCAGCTCTCTAATCTGGACTTTTTGCTTGGAATATTTCATCAAGAAAGTACATTTGAAAATTCATAATTCAGTAATTATTCTTTAAGATGAGAAGACACTATTATGGCTAATTTGGGGACATTTGTTAAGTCATACACACAAGCTGACATATCAAACAATATAAAAGCTCTTTACAAATACTATTTGATATATGTCTTATTTTCATTTTAATCTTATTTTTTTATTATTGGCCTAGAAAATTATAGATGAAGGTTGTTTTTATTATATTTAGGATAGATAAAAATTTAAGTAATTTTGTGGCTTTATATCTTTGATCTCATTAAGGTGATGGTGAGGTGGTAGAACAAGTAATTGGGCAACAAACCAATGACCAAGATGAAAGCATTCTTGATGGAATAATCAGGGAACTACAGAGAGAACAGGATCTTAGACTAATAAATGAAGGAGATGTTCCACATTTTCCAATTAATAGATCATATTCTGCTAATGGTGGTAAGTATGTATATATTTATATGATGGAGGTACTTTATTTAATTTTACTTGCACTAAGTGATTACATGTAAGAAAAATTTTAGGTTTTTAAATAAGAACATTTTTGTTAACACCAAAGTGCCATAATCTGATTGTCATTTGTTGCTAAAAGGCCTTAGCGTTTCTTAGAAATACAGATAGTGCATTTTAATAAACTGTTTTCTCTTAACTAAAGAATGTATTTGCAGCCTTTACATTTTTTCTAATAAATGAGGTGCTACAATAAGTACAGCCTTTTTGTAAAAGGGGACCAACTTACGTTTTCAAAATTAAAACCACTGTGAATATAAAAATTACTAACAAAAGATTTACCCTTCTTTGTTGAAAAGAAATTAACATTATCCCCTTCATCTCTTGAATTTACAGACATACACTGGAAGATAAGCCCTATTCTTAGGAAATACAGATGCAACTTCTGAATTGATTTTTGAAACACTTTGAATAATGGCAATATTCTAATTTATTGTATCGTTTCTTTACTTGAAATATGGCTATACATCTGAATTTTATATAAATCTTAGCTTGTCAGTTTTACTTTTTTTAAAATGATGGAGTTCTTCATGAATTTGCATGTCATCCCCTCTCAAGGGCCATGCTAATCTCTGCATTGTTCCAATTTTAGTATAAGTCATGACGAAGCAAGTGCCATCAATTCTACTTTTATCAAGAACTATTAGTTGTACTTCAAAATGCAGTTGTCTTATGGGATTTTGGCAAATGTGTTTCTTTTTACATTTATATAATTGGGGTTTATTTGTATATAATAGCTTTTAGAATCCAAGAATTGGGGCAGCCTGGGTGGTTCAGCGGTTTAGCGCTGCCTTCAGCCCAGGGCCTGATCCTAGTGACCCGGGATCGAGTCCCACATCGGGCTCCCTGCGTGGAGCCTGCTTCTTCCTCTGCCTGTGTCTCTGCCTCTCTCTCTCTCTCTCTCTCTCTCTCTCTCTCTCATGAATATATAAAGAAATAAATCTAAAAATAGAATCCAAGAATTGAGTAAAGTGATTTAAATTTGAGGTGATTCACAGGGTATTATACTCATTTCCTGATTATTAAGTATCCCATAAAATTAAAATTAAAACATTTCTTTGTTCACCTAAGGAACACCTAACTAACTCATAAACTTTCCTTAACCTGGAAAAAGATAATAAGTGGACTGATAATCCTACAGTAACCAGGCCTTTCTGTTTCTAAGATGTAAAACTTTCTTAGAACCTTGATTTAGAGAATCATTAATGAAATCAGCATTCAGCTTTACCCTCAATAGCTCTACCCTCAATAGTAGAATTCTGTGGATAGATATGAAATGCCATTAGTCAAAACACCTCCACTGAATTCTATTTCCAATGTTTTTGTTTTTGTTTTTGTTTTCTTTCCTGGGTGCTTATTTTAATGGTTAAATGAATGATTCCATTTCTACTTTTATTTGGAAATACAACAAAAATAAATTTACAGGGACATGTCTAAGGACTTAGAAAAGGTTTCATTACTTCATTTCACCTTTTATTCATTGCTTATCAGTTTTGAAAATTAAAGTTTGTTAAAGTATTTTTGTTTATCCTTTTTCTCTTATTACTACTTTTGAACGCCAATTGAAACTTTATGCATAAACCTTTTAATGGGCTAAATATAGGATATAGATTAAAAGCTGCTTTCTGAAGCTTTATTTCTGAATGCTAATAAACATTTGTAAATCTACCAAATCACACTAAATACACTTTTTGTATTTCGTAAGCATTTATTAGATGACAGATGTGAATATACTGTGAAAAAATTTAAAAGAGTGATAGAAACTTTAAGCATTTATTGAGTGCCTTGCTTTATTCATCACTGTATAAAAACCGTGAAGGTGGTACAGAAAATAGAACAAAGGGATAGCAATATTGTCATAGACTTTCCTATTTTAGTGTACTGATCTCTGAAAATTTGGTGCCTTTACTCAGAGAAACTGGTACCTTTCTTTTTGTTTTAGCTCTGAGAAGTCCAAATATGGATGTATCTTCTTCCCCAAATACTGGATTTCGACGTAGTGGTCAGATTGAAGGTGTCCGACAAATGCATAATAATGCTCCCCGGAGCCAGATGGCCACTGAACGAGATCTCATGGCATGGAGCAGAAGAGTGGTGGTCAATGAACTAAATAGTGGAGTTAGTAGGTGAGTCAATAAGGTAACATTAATAAGAAAATTGAGAACTTTATTGTTTAGTTAGTCGATTTTATAACTAAAATTATTTTTTAATCAAGCTGAAGTTTTGTATGTTTTTCTACCTTATTCCAGTTAGTTAATTCTGTAACAACTATTTAATAATTATATTCAATTTGCTTGGCTTTATGCTAAATGGTTTGGGAAATACAGAAAAATTAAAACATAGTCTTCCATGAATTTATAGTCTAAGTTAGAAGATAAGAATACAAATACTATTAAGTAAGAATATGAGACCAGACGTGAGTAAATATTTCAATGATATGTAGACCCAAAATTCAACAGTGGTTCTGAGGAAAGGCCATCAATCTGATATTGGAATAGTTTGGGAATGCAATATAGGTATGTTGTAGATCCCAGTGCTTAGGGTAAATTTTGAAATGCCCTTTAAGTAGACTTCCTTGTATGAAAGGATTTTATTAGGATAAAATTTAAATTTAGAATACCTATTTCTATTTATAAATCCTAACATTTACATTAATATCAATTCCAATTAATCCACATAGTCTGGAAGTAGATTTAGAAAAGAAGAAGAGGAATGCCTGAGTGGCTCAGCAGTTGAGCGTCTGCCTTTAGCTCAGGGTGTGGTCCCAGGGTCCAGGAATCGAGTCCCACATTGGACTCTTTGCATGGAGCCTGTTTCTCCTTCCTCTTTCTGTGTCTCTGCCTCTCTCTGTGTGTCTCTCATGAATAAATAAATAAAATCTTTTAAAAAATTGAAAAGAAAAAGAATATTTGACAGAGAACATACAATCTCTCTTAATCATGCTATCTCCTTTATCAAGCCTTTTACTGATTCATCCAACAAGTAGCAATCATAATTTAATTTCACCTTTTCTTTCTATAGCAATAATAAGAAAAAAGGAGACATAGCTAATTTATGAACTCCTGGCAGTAGAGCAATTTGAAATAATACTTTGCTCAAAATGTTAAAATACAGTTGAAAGAAGGAAGTCAAATAGATACTTGTATGCCAGTGTTCATTGCTATATTATCCATAATACCAGAACAATAGAAATAACTCCATTGTCTGTTCTCAAATGAATGGATAAACAAATTGTGATATATACATACAAGGGAATATTGCTCAGTCATAAAAAGAATGAAGTTCTGATACCTGCTACCACACGGATAAGCATTAAAAACATGCTAAGTGAAATACCAGACACAAAAAGATAAGTAGCAGATGAAATATATATAGAGATATGAAATATCTAGAGTAAGCAGATTCATATAGACATAAAGTTGATTAGAGGTTAACAAGGACTGGTAGAAGGAGAAATAGAGAGTTACTATTTAGTGGTTACAAAGTTTGTTCGGAGTGATGAAAAAGTTTTGGAAATAGTGGTGATGGTTGTTACACAATATTGTAAATGTCAGTAATGTATACCTAAAAATGGTTAAAGTAGCAAATTTTACCTTTAAAGATTTTTTGTTATCTGACTTTAGACTGTTGGTTTGATTTTTGATGATTTTCTGTCACTTTGACATTTGTTATTAGGGTTCAGGAAGAATGTCGAACTGCAAAAGGTGACATAGAAATCAGTCTTTATACAGTTGAAAAGAAGAAAAAGCCATCTTATACTACCCAAAGGGTAAGTTTAGTTTTATAGTACTTTGGGATATACTGCTTGCAAATATTTGCAGATACTAAGTTTTTCAAAGGTAGCAGTTATGTATTAAGCAGCTATTTTGCTAGTTGACTACATATAGGGAGCCTATTTTTTAACGCCAAATTGAAATACATAGCAATTATTAATAAAAAAGAATTACACACAAAAAAAAGAATTACACAAAGTCAGGACATCCTCCAAAATTTAGGATATGTGGTCATTGTAAGTATAAAACATTTGTATTAAAATACCATTTTTATATGGTTAGAGTAAAACCTTAAAATTGTTGGCTGGTCACTAATCACAGTGTAAAAAAATGTTTAGATATCCTAGTAGTCACAAACCACTACCCATGCTCTAAATCTGGTCTACAGCCTATTCCTGTTAATGTAAGTTTTATTGGAACACAACCATACTTATTAATTAACATATTGTCTATGGCTGCTTTCATATACTATAGCATTGAGTAGTTACAACATCTGACTTGCAAAGACAAAAATATTTACACTCCGTCCATTTACAGAAAAGGCCCACTCTTGGCCTACCTAATTATATAGGAGCAAAATCTGATCTATTTTGGAAAGATTCATATTCCCAGTAGAAACTGCTAAGCAGGGAATCAGATTCCTATACTTCATTAGGTACATAGTAAGCCCCTTACTAGTATTCTGATATTGAACAAACTAGTGGCATAACAATGTATGTTCTTATTCCCAGATCAAACTATAACTCCTGAAAAGTATGGTAATGTGGATAGTCTAAGATGATATTAATTTTATTAAAGAAATCTAGGCAATGGGCACTGAATTTTAAAAGTGTTTTTCAGTATTGATAAACACAATTTTAGGTAAGTATCATATGAATATCGTCAAATATCCTTAGATAATATTTTTTTGCGACATTCTTAATTTTTAAATAAGCTTTGTTAGCTTATTTGATGTTCTCCAACAAGGTTATTTTCTTAGAGATTTTGAATGACTCAGATCCATGATTTATATTATTTTCTCCTGCTAAGCTGATTTGTCAGATATGTCTGAGACTAATTAACAAGGCAGTTGGGTCTGTAAACATTTTATATTAAAAATGGGAAATATTTACATATAGGATAAGAAACTGGTCCTTGATACTGATTTATTTATAAGAATTTTAAATTTGTTTACTCCAATAGCATACTACGGTTTTAACTTTTACATAAAGGTATATTATTAATATTTTATACTTGTAAAGGTTAGAAGAACATATTTTTCACGTTAATTTTAGTTAAAAATTAAATATTTTTATCGGTTTATCAAATGTAGTTTTTTAGAAAACTAAAGAAGTACATATTAAGAATTACATATACATAGGTATGATATAGATATCTTGCTTCATCTTGTAACAAACTATGAATAATATAGAATATGTAAATTCTGAGTCAGTCCATTCTTACAGCCCAAAATTTAGGCACTCTTTAACTTGATCACAAAATTTTCAAAATAGGAAAGTACTCAATATTAATGGAAGGTGGCGTAAATATACATGTATCTTGTATTTTCTTTTTGGGGATTTATTCCTAATTGTTACATCTATCCCCACCCTACCCCTGCCCAGTTGATTTGCTTTATATATGTTTGTGTTTGATCACTGGGCCTTCAATTTTTTTAAATCTATATTCTTTCTGTTTTACAGAACGATTATCAGCCTAGCTGTGGGCGGTCTTTAAGAAGGACACAGCGTAAGCGTCAGCATACTTACCAAACACGGTCCAACATAGAGCATAATTCACAAGCATCATGTCAAAATTCAGGTGTACAGGAAGACTCAGACAGTTCCTCAGAGGTTAGATGT